TCCTTCCTTCCTTCCTTCCTTCCTTCCTTCCTTCCTTCCTTCCTTCCTTCCTTCTCTCTTCATAAAAGAAGTGCTCCTTAGCTAAAAATACTGTAGCCAGAAGTCCTCTTAAAAGCTAATACAAGGCATAATAGATATGAAATCAAGAAGACCAAGAGAGTATATTCTAATCACAGGGATCAGGATCCCAACAGATTCTAAGCAATTAGAAACCTAATAAGGTTGAGAAAGGAGTGGAAATATTCATTTTAGACTTGCTTGTTAACATAGATTTTACCTGGTGGGTGCTACTTGTTTGTTTGTTTGTATTGTTCTGAAGATGTGTTATTACTGAGCTAATTTTATGTTTTCATGTTCTACTTGAACTTGTAAACTACTGTTGACACTACATGCATAACACACCACGGGTACTTTTAGACAAGGTCTTGCACGATCACGCTGCCTTATGAAGGATCCAGATGATGTCCGCTATTCATGAGCTGCCCTCGTTGCATAACATTTCCTCTGTCTAGTCTGCAGCCTCGTTCCAACTGAATTGAGCCTGCAACCTTTGGCCATTTCGGTTGGGAATCCTGGGAGTTGCAGTCCAAGTCAAGTAGACTCCTCCAGGATGGGGAAGGGGCACAAGTGCTACCACCCAAAAGGCTTTCTGCCCTTATTAACAGATCTTTTTCTCCTGAAAAGGAAAAGGGAGAAATGGAAGGCTGTCTCACCCAATCCATTCATAGGTTCTGGTAGGTGAAAGGCAGTGCTATTCTAAATTAAAGCCTCATCTGTAAACACCGTCTGTCTACGTGCTGCTAGCTAGACATGTATGCGGTCAGAGCACAAAAATACATTACTGCTGCCAAAGTTATGATGATGATGGCTATCGGCATTATGCGATAACTGAGCGAGTTCTTCCTACATGAAGTCCGAGCACACGAACAGATCCTTAAACTGGTTCACGGGGATATAAATACCGCCTCGACAACGCTTGCCTCCTGCGATGACACAAGGAGAACGGAGGAAGCCCCGATCTTCCCTCGCCACCCCGCTCCATCTTTCCCTCTAACCGCTGCTGGGATTATCACCCAGTCCCGCTGCCGCCCAGGGGCTGGCTAGCCGGGCATGGCAGCGGCTAGGTCTGAGACGCCCTCCCGCCTTACCAGGCTCATGCTCGCCAGGATTGTCGGAGATCTCGATGACCAGCAACTCCCTGCCCTCGAAGCTCCGGCCCACAGTGTAGATCCTACTGATGGACGGACACTGCAGCCACACCGACACCAGCGCTTCCCGCAGCTCCGGGTAGCGGTGGTACTCGAAGGAGATGCCGTCCTCCTGGCTCAGGCGCCGCCGCCTGTTTGCCCCTCCGCCGGCCGCTGCCGGCGCCTCAGGCTCGTCCGCTTCAGTATCCTGCAGACAGAAATTGCTGGGCAAGGCGCAGAGCGCCAGCAGCAATGGCCAAACCCGACCTCGCCCGGCCATGCCTCAACTGCAGCCCCGGGGAGGAAGAGGCGGACCGTGCCTGCCTTCTGCCCGACCAGCCAGCCGCCTCGCCTCGCCTCGCCGGGGTTTGCCGTAGCGACGCAAGCTGAGCTCGGGCGTGCTGTCCTGCTGGTCGTCTGGGCTAAACCTGCTCCATTCAGGAAGGGCGGCAGAGTCAGAAGCGCTAGTCCTGCAGGCTGTACTACTCGCTCCAGAGCCCAGGGGAGACGCAGGATGTACCACTTCCGCGCAGGGGATGCTGAGGGGACGTTCTGTCACGCACTGTAGATCGAGGAGCCGCGTGGGTGTCCGGGGCGCTTGTCTTGCTGAGCGCGTCCCTTTCCTAGACGCTCTTCAGGCTTGAACGAGGCCCGCCGAGGCGACGCCATCGCGAACTCGTTCTCTTTCTGGTGCCAATTATGGTGCCGCTGAGAAACGTACTGTATAGGAGTGGAGGCTGTTTAACGTTTGGAGGACGTAAGGAAGCAGGTTGGCTTCAGAGGGCCTGGCAGAACTCTCTAATCCAAATGCCTGCAAATTGGATAGCCGTCAAAAGGCATCCCGTGCAGGCCCAAGATGGCTCTTGCCTGCCAAGACTTATGCCCCAACCAGAGGTATGGTGCTTATCATGCCACATCACTCAGTTGTTTCCACATATACAAAGGCCCTTTGTTTTCTTTTACGTGGTGGAGGGTTTTTTTGACATTTGTAGTCAGTTCTTCAATAAGATATTCAAAGCCATTTCCATCTTAAAAACTACATATTGCTAGCAAAAGTAGGTACTGTGAACATAGGAGAGCTGAATCCTTCTCTCCCACCATATACTTTGGATTCCACTCCAGGCCATAATCATTAGGATATAAAAGTTAAATGGACTGTCATGACAGAGAAATCCTGAGAGGCAGATCTAGAATTTGTTTCTGGTACATGATTTGTAATACCTAAGTATGGTGTTTGGAGCGTTGGACTACTGCGCTGAAGGGCTGTACCCCTTAAGACTGAAAAAATGTGCTGAGAAGCTAGGTGTTAACGGTATTTGGGGGAGAGGGGGCATTCTTGTACTTCCATTAAGCGAGGACCAACCTGTTGTTAAAACACGGCACAAAGAAGTTGCAGGTTTACATTCTGAGAAATGTCAACTAAATGCAGTCAACCAAAACAGATAGTAAAACAGGTTGGTCAATATTACCTGAGGAGCCCTTAAAAAAAAAAAGAAAAAAACACACCCTTGAAAATATGACACAAGATGATCTAGGCATTGAGTTAATTGAATAAAACCCAATTCAAGGAGCAAAGGCGTAAGAACCTGGCCAGTAAGACCCAATAACTGATTGACCATATCTGGGTTGCAAAACCCAGTTTCTCCAGTTTGTGAGTCTTTGGTGCCACTTTTCCAGCCCAGATCCGGTAGTACTAAGAGCAATACTGAGCCCTCGTTTGCT